ATCCAAAAAATATTCCGGAAGTGCCAAAGTTCATAAAAAGTGAAAATAAATCCATCATGAAGATTTGAACCCAAAACGAGAAACTTTTCTGAAAACTTTCCAAAATTACACAAATGTCCCTCCACTAGATAATTCAAAAAGTGAATTTCTCAAAAAGCCCAAAATGAAGTGCCATTCAAAAGAAATATTTAAAAAAACCTTCAATACAAAATATCATCAAAAGATAATTACAAAAAATACCCCAAGTAAAGAAAATAATTTTCAAGAATATTTACATTTAATCCCCTACAGCTAAAAGTATACATCTAGCATGCTTTTTTACAAAAGTAAAAATGTGGATCACATAGAAATCAAGTAAAATGAATGCATGCAAGACCGGAATGAAATTCGAGCACAACACGATAGGTTATGCAAAATGAAAAGACAGTGAAAAATGACGGAAAAAGAAAACTCGAAAAAAAAATCAACGGAAAAAAAATATTTGTAAAATTTGAGAAAATGAAAATAAAGAAAAATAACCGGGTCATTACAATCTACCCTCCTTAAAGAGATTTCATCCCAAAAAGTAGGCACATCCCATGGAGAACAAAACCAGGACCAAGCACAAGATCACATCCAGAAACACATCTTCAAGTCTCAAAAGACAACTCCAAAAAATCATATGATCAAATGAAAGGACATAAAACCACCGAATTGTGGAGCACATCTCCAAACGAATCTACACACAAAGCCAATAATAGTCACCAAAAGAACTCCGAAACAACAACACATCGAATCGAGGTACCTAGCTAAAGGCAACAAGGCAGAATGAATAATGACTAGTACCCGCCTACAGCGTACCCAATGTATGGTAGCATTGATGGTGACCAGTACCCACCCACACAAACTCATCAGTAAGGTAGCATGCTAGTAACTAGCACCCACCCACAGTATGCAACCTGGCACAGTAGCATTGACAGTATATAGCCCTAATTCATAACATGCCCCCACTAAGCTTACCCATGAAACTTCTTGATACAAATGACATTAATGTCGAAAATGATCATTACCAAAAACACCACGGGAACCAGGCATTTTGTGAGAGTTGGGATATGGTCCAAAGATGTCCAACCGGTCCACCTTAGCTAATCCTAAAACTCATATAACAATGTTATAGTTACCGCCACACTTAAGACCTTAAATCCTCAATACTCAGAAAAATGACAACTCCAAATCATTAAATCTCTATATCAAGTCACTTTAATCAAATCACGGACTCCTCAAAACACCACTATTAAACAACTCTCAAGCATGAATCCAAAACCTGACAAGTCTGTGTCCTCAAATCGAAATGGATTGAACTTCACAAAATCAGAAAGGTAACGATATCTCCCAAGTTACAATGATCCTCACTATAAGACATTAAACCGAAAATCCTCTACACAAAGTCTCATCAATACAATATGTCTCCAAAATGAGCATCACACCTCGAATCCATCCTTTAAAACAAAATCACTCCAAAGAGAACCGAAGAGAGAAGTCACCACAAAATAGTCACCTATCACCAAAGTGACAAATCCCTAACGAATCAGAAAACAAAAGTGTCGACAAGTCTCCTAAAATAGTTCCAAAGCCAACTCTCTAAAGAAACCATCAACAATCATGAAACCGTGCAAAACACTATCCTGAAATAAACCCACCATAAGGCCACACACAAAGTCATTAAGCTTAATCAAATCCCAATCACCAAGCCCTCAAAACATAAGTCCACTACGTAGCTCACACATCACAATCCTGACGACCAAGGTCACACAACCCCACAATGATGGTGCAGGAATAAGAGGAATGTAGTTAAGAACCCACGTCGTGATGAAAAAAACGGTAGAAACAGATGACTCAGGACCATGTCCCTCGTGACTAGGTCACAACTCAAGGTAAATGTACGCCTGTATGCAACTCTAATGTAACACAATGCACCTATGTATGCACTCGACAACCACGTAGCATATACTCACAACATCAAAATACATAAACCAAATAATACTGTAATACTAAGTACACAGTACACATAAGGAAAATTGAATAATGCACCTATCACATAGGAATCAAATAAGCAACAACATGCCATGCGTCATTAATGATACCAGCCCGTTAGACATATATAGTATATGAAAAATGCATCATCTATATCATCACACGAACTACCACGTAGTTACATATCCTAAACATATCTCTAAGGCATGCTCAAAATGATAAGGCATATAAACATACGAGGATAACAGTATATGACAATACTCAAATTTAAATGGAATAAGAACTAATCTGAAGACCACCAAAATCATATGCATCTCATATATATAGAATCTTAAAATAAAATACCGTACTAAACTACACCTCATGCTGTTACTACAATTAGGTTAAGCATATCGAATACATTCATTTATACATATAGGTATATTAGACATTCAGCATACGATATGGTAACATCATCATATACTTGTACAAAGTAGTAGAAAGTCTAAATATAACATACTCTTTCACATAGCGAGTAGATATAAGTCAAAATAATCAAGGTAAACATGAACTAGTATGTTCATAACCTAACATTAAGTCAAAATATGCATTAATATTTAATCATACTGATCGGTTAGCATACATCACAAGACGTGAAACACGTAATATGCGGCTGTTAAGGCTACCAAATAACATACTTATAGAAATGGCATCTTTATCAAAAGGAAATCTTATCATGATGAACATATTCATGCTTATCATATAGCATAGCGTAAACATAACTAGCATAATCTACCACATCGTAATTAGCTAATAGTCAAAATAAACAACTCAAGTAGTACTAGTATGCTCATAACTCATTACAAGTTAACATGAATATTTAACACTTAATCATGTTCAGCACTTAGCATAGTCCATAAGTTCAAAGCATATAACATATAATGGCATAAAACCGTCAATTAGCATGCTTGTGCAAATATCAACGTAAGATCCTAAGTGTTATGTCAAAAGGTACTTAATTAAACTGTGTATACTATACTAAACACATACCATACTACATGACAACAAAATAACATACTTATACAGTATTTAATAGTTCATATAAACATATTATGTCATAAAACAAGTAGACAAAAATCAAGGCAAACAGCGCAAGTGGCAACTAGTATATAAAGGCCTAATCTAGCATACATCATATGTCATGCTCAATACCATAAAAAATTTAAATCATGCTAGACAAATAACATACACACATAGCACGCATAATATAACAACATGGTAAGGCAACTAAAGAATGCTAAATCATTTTAAGTACATAGGCATATAGGCACCAAAATCATGTTAAGTCATACAACGAAACATTAAACACCTAGGCATATAAGTAAACAGGCATATATGTTAAACAAAAGATTTCTCAAAATACTTAAGCAAGTGAGCACGTAAGCATACAAGTGCTAAATAAACGTAAAGCATACTATCATATGTAATATACAAGTCATGCTATAATGATTAATGAATGCTTCTAAACACGTAATTACCTAAGCACATAAACATGTTATCAAGAAGCACGTAGATACATAGTATGTCAACATATACGAAAGAAAACATGAGGCATGAAGACATGTTACATACAATCATGTCAAGGCAAATAAGCATATACATAATGCTAAGACAACTAAACATATATGGCATGCTAAGGCGGTTAACAAAATTTTCTAAACGAATTGCCACATAACCACGTAAACATGCTAAGACATAAAACATATATGTAACATGCTAAGGCAGATAAACATACACAACACGTTAAAGCGACTAGACATATACGTCATGCTAAAACAGTCAAAGTAAGTAAAGCTTCTAAACAAATTATCATGAAGCAAGTAAGTGCATCAAAGTATGGCAAAAAAGCATGATATGCACCCAAACCCGTCGTCCAAAGTTTTCGAACCCGGACGCTCTGATACCACTTGTAATGTTCTGAATTTACACAACCTAGATATGTCAATGTGACTCGAAGGTTGAGCCGATAACGGATCTGGAATGCGGAAGCGAAAACAAAAACAAAGTCTATAGGAATGTTTGGTATCCCTAAGATGCCATGGTGAATTTCCATGAAATCACAGAAATAAAAGAAAACAAATGCGAAGCAAAAAGGTGAAAATAGACCAAGTATGCCCCCAAGGACAAAATGGTCATTTCACATGCAAACAAAGTCTCAAGAGATGTATGTTATCCCTAAGACACAAACATGGTTTCCCATGAAGCCATGGAACTTAAAAGAAAGTAAAAATGCGGAAGTGATATTTAAAAAGGGACAAGTTTAGCCCTAAGGGTAAAATTATAATTTTTAGAAAGTTATGGGTGCTATCGAGCACACCATTCACTACAAGAAATTAGGTTTTTAGTGACGGCCAAATCTGTCCCTAAAAACCGTCCCTAATAATCAAATCTGACCATCCCTAATAGTTGTGTCACAAATGATTTTTAGGGACGGTAAAAATTTTCCATCCCTAATAAAATCGACCTTCAAGGACGGACTTACTGTCCCTAAAAGGCCCATCCCACTTTCATTTATTAGGGACGGACTTACTGTCCCTAAAAGGCCCATCCCACTTTTATTTATTAGGGACAGACTTATTGTCCCTAATAAGACCGTCCCCCTTTGATTTATTAGGGACGATATTTACTGTCCCTAATAGTTGATATATTAGGGACCGTTTTTTTGTCCGTCCCTAATATATACTTATTAGGCACAATTTGTACTGTCCCTAATAAGATTTATTATTATTATTATATTAAATTTGTGACAGTAATAAACTGTCCCTAATACTTCATTATTATTATTATTATTATTATTATTATTATTATTTCTGTTTTGCTCTACGGGATTTGTTTTCTAAAAATACTATTAAACCACATCCACCTTATATATCAAAACATGGAAACTAAAAAGTATATTCATCCACAATATCATTTTAGAAAGAAAAAAATAAATTACCACCATAATACGATGCCAACAAATAAGCTCTTAATCCCATGATGAAACTAAAAATTCTCCAGTTTTGTAAAGAAGAGCTAAAAGTATCTACTAGCTGCTTTAACATCAAATGGTTCCAAACATCCTCAAAAATTAAAACATCATTTTAAACTAAATGCAATCATGAAAATGCAAGGAAAAAAATATACTACCAAAATAGTTAGAAATCAGCTAGCTAGCCATCAAAAAGCTTTAAAATATATCTACCAAAATAATTATCTTTATAGTTCATTCAGGTGACTGTTGTGGTGGTGCTGGTGCGTGGTGCTGAAATTGCCACCATGTTGGCGGCTGCTGATACCAGCTTGGTGGGGCATGCTGATGTTGGTGGAATCGTGGTGGCGGTTGTTGGTTCTATTGTTGCTGCTCAAGGAGTTGCTGGAGCTACTGTTGTTGCTGCTGAAGGAGTTGTTGTTGTTGCTCAAGGAGGTACTGAAATGTATCCAACTTCTCCTCCAAATTTGTAACTTTCTCCCTAAGTTGTGCATTATCTTCTTCAACATTTTTTACCCTTTTTCTAGAAGCCTCTTCAAAAGATAAGGATACACGTTGATGGCTTGGAGCTACAAAACCATTTCCGAACCCACGACGACATCCCTTTCTGATACCTATTTGGTTTTCCACTATCTCAACATCATTTATGACAGGACTGGTACCATCAGAATTGTGAAAAACTTGTGAAAACTTCTGTTTCATTTCATCCTGAAATTAAGATGAATGTAGTGTTAAACATCAGTAGCTCAATAAAAAATTAACTATAAACTAAGTCAAGATGAATTGTTTTTTGATGTATGTATATAGAGAATAAGAATGAGTGGGAGATTCATTCTTCACTTCCATTTTTGGAAGAAAAAGAGCTAGCTAAAGCTCTTTCAGTGAAAGTCAAAAAAGGATCTTACTTATATATAGGACATCAAATTTATATTTTCTATTCCATTTAGAATTCTCAGTCCAGAGACGTCAATATCACGATCTGATACAAACTTTAACAAGCATGTATGAGGATCACAAAAAGCATCAAACAATGTCCATATACTTTGTGATGCATAATTATATGTTTAACATAAAAAATATATAATTGTCATATCAATTAACCAAATTTTATGGTCTAAAAAAATAAATACAATATATGTTAAGCTTGTAACAAAATTGATCCCAAAATAAAAATTAACTTGCAAAATAGTAGCACAAAATATAAACTAGTTTCTAACCCATTATAATTAAAAATAAAAATAAAAAATTTTTTGAATCAATTATTTAAAATTGCAATTTTAATTTTAAATTGAGATTAACAAATAAAAAAGAACAAAACCACAACAGAGCAAAAACATAACTAAAGAATATTACACAAGGAACTTAAACAACATACATAAAACATTAAGAGTGACCAGATTCAGTAGCAAACTTTTGAACATCATTTATATATTAAAAAACATTAAGTTGGGTTCAAGTTGGCCCACCTGAATTTCAAGTGCGTTTATCCTGATGTAATGCAGCATGGCAATGTAGGCAAACAAAAATAGGAAAGATTTTATCATAATTGAATTTAAAATATGATTTCAAATATTTGGAATGTGTGGAATTTTAAAAGAACTTAGACGGAATTTAAAATTCCTTTTTACAAATCCCATTTTATTCCCAATTTCTTTCCCAACTCTAATTTCAAATTCCATAAGTATTTGGTTCGAAACAAGGCGTAAAGAAATAATTAAAGGTTCCTTGTCAAGTAAACCCTAACCCTAACACCGATTCTTATTCCAATTATATTAGAATCAATCTCATACAATGCCCATTTTTTTTTTTTTCAGATTCTAGTAGAACTCTACAAGATTTTGAAGTTATTCTATGCACTTTATTGGTTCAGTTTACAATAAATCTGAGCCTACGCCTCAGATTTATCTTTAACCCTATGCACTTTCAGTATTTGGGATCAGCATTGGAAGCCTTTTACTCAGAAAATCAAATGAAATGAACTCGAACCCATGCAATAAGTGATAGGTTATTTTAGGCTCATCAACTTGTCCTAATATATATATATTAAAAAAAGAAATTTATTTATTTTTAAGTTGTGTGACAGAGACTATAGAATAGACAACTGGGGTTAGGTTTCATATTTAGCGTTGATTAGTGTGGCTTTTGTTGTGTGTATTATTGAAAGTGATTTGGCTTCAATCACATAATCTCCAGAAATTTGGATGAATTTAGGTTAGGGAAGTTATTCCCATCTTGATCATGTGATGGACATTGACAGTTGATGAGCCCACTTTTAACTTCAATGTATGTTCTCACCTAAAATATTTGTTACCATTAAGTGCAAGGAGAGTTTCAGTTTCACACACCCCAGAGTAAACAAGCTCAATATTTTATCTCAATAATATTTTTAAATCATTTTATTAAAGGATGGATGATCATGAAATTACTAACTCAGATAGATAGCAGAAAGGTAAATCAACTAAAACTGGATGATACGAAAGGGTAAGTTCGTATCATAGAGCAATGATAGGGAATTCAAATTTTCAGCAGCAAACAAATTAAACCTATCGATCACCGGACCAAAAAAAAAAAGGAAACAAAATTTTTAGTACCATGTTAATTAATTGGAAAAAATAGCATTCCCAGTACTATGTTAAAAAAGTAAATTACCACAACTTGTTAAACCAATGGGCTTGGACATTGTTTTTAGATCTCTAATAAGTCATTAGAATTGGTTCTTTTTTTTTAAGTGAGAAAAATTAACATTCTCACCTTGGTGGTGTGCTTCAATGTTATACTATGGGCCTCTTTTCTCAGATCTAGAACTCAAATACGTAGTTAAATATGAAAGTCATTTCAAATTGGTCAATTTTTTTGGAAGCAAGCCTGGCCTCATAGTCGTGTGGATCCCAGAACATTTATATTATAAATAGAAAATGATTGTTAAAGTCAACTGGAATAACACCTTATAGATATTATCTAAACTCCATATATATAAATGTTATCTAAAATCCTTATAAATGTTATCTAAAATCCTTCTAATCTATTTCCGAAAAATTTAAATCCTTATAATTTGAATACTCAAATTGACAAAGGATTTCACTAATAACATTCTAATAATCCAATTCTGGGATCCTAAAGTTTCATTGAACAATTGATTTAATTTGGATCAAGGGCCCCAAATCCATATCCACGCACAAACCACCAACAAACACAGCTCCTGCTTTTAGTTGACACATTATTATATATGCACTTCTAAGCATGGTATCCAGTATATCTAATCTAATCTGTAATCTGGTAACTATGTTGATCAAAGCTACAAATTTCTAATTCACCAACAAACTCAATAAATAGCAATTATTTATTTATTGTGCTTGCCTGCAAAAACTGAAAACCATATTCCCAAAAATCCATATATATAAAAATGTGCTCATTCAATTTTCAAAAACAAAACCAACTAAGGTGCTGTTTAATAAAGCTGAAAATTAAGCACTGGAAAATTTTAATTACTGAATTTAAAGCACTGAATGCATGAGTTGATACATGATATTCTGCTCTTATCCACACCCAATTAATTATGAGAACCTAAACTGATTTTGTGAACGGAATTATTCTCGTGCTGGTGCATCAGGGTAGGGTTATAGCTATAAAATGTAAAGCACCTAAAGGAATGTAATCATTGGTCTCTCCCATCCCATAATGAGTACAATATCACCAACATCATCTCCTTGCTAGGATAACAATTAGGTTGTTAAAGTCAACTGTTACTTTAGAGTTTAGTCTAAACTCTCTCTCGTGATGTAGCCAAACTAGGGCTTGTAGTTTAGGGTCAAAAAGGCGGAAAAAAGTGTTTACATAGAGTTAAAAGTGTACAATGGAATTTGAAGGCTGATTTATCTTTTAAGAAAGTAAAAAAGGGGAGAAAAAAAACTTACGTAGTTCTGCTTAGCTCTCTTGTTTATCCATCCAATTTCTTCCCTAAAATGCGTGTCCTTGTACATGCGAATAGCAAGACCCTCCTCAGGACTTTCAACTTCCTCATCTTCTTCCTTTTGCCTTTCTTGCCTTTCTTGACTTTCTTTCAGCTGCAACACAAAATATGATTTAGATGGATAATAAATTGAAATTTTATAATTATTATTTTAAATATTACATACATAAATATCATAGCGTCTGGCGAAAGACATCGATCCAGAAACATGTGGAGTATCATTCTTCGAACGGTTGCCTTTATTTCTGTCACTTATTTTATACACAACAATTCAAACAATAATACAAGTTAGGAAACCTAAATAGCTAGTTAATCAATGTATTATAATCAATGATTTCAAGTAAATAATTTAAAGCAGGTGGTTAAAAATCCGAATTTGAAATTCTGGTGATGTCCACCAATCGCACATTTTCCCCCAACATCAATATTAATAATACCATATGGATGCAAGCATGCATTCTCAATGGGAAGATGCTTGACAAAATGATTCTTCAATTTATATTTATATTTCCTCAAACGTTCCAACATTTCCTTAGTTACTCGCTTGAAATCAGTTTCATTGTCATGTGCATCCACTCCAAAGGTCACCTTTATAATGAACATTTAATTTAAGTTAAAAAGAGCCCAATAATTCACACAACAAATAACACTAAAAATATGAAAAATAAATAACATGTTAACAAAATAAGTATTAAAAATGGTATAGTATTCCCCTTGTGATATAGAAAATAAAAGAACTCGTTACCTTAAAATGGTCATAGCAGACCTATCTCTCATAATCTAGAATTTCCCTCCACGTTTTATATTTCAATAGCGCTTCTTTATCTCTCGCATGGATGCCAACCTCAGCCGTCCATAAATTGTGATTTTTGCCAACGGGTTTAATATAACCCGTCCCAAACTCTACCAGAATTGGAGCATCCTTTCCATAGAGTTCCTTAGCTTTGTGTAGGGCTATATTCTTTGCTTTTCCACGCCCTTTTCGTACTGGGCCTGAAAAACAAATTATCAACTTAATTAAAACATAGTCATTATACAAAAATGCTTGTAGTTAAATTAATGATGAAGCATAATTATCACCTATACTTCGTTGTGGCCTCGTCTGCAAAGTATTACTGGCACCTTCCATAATAGGCTGTTAACTTATTAAATTACTACCATCAGCTTCTCCACTCGGTTATGTGGCAGCTGAACTTGTAGATGGTGTCTCAGTTCGAGTTTGAGCCACGCTGGACCTTAATATTCTACGCATTGGTGCCTCAGAAGTGTCCGTAATTCTATTTGCAAGCTGATATGAAGAATCAAGTAATATTAAATAAAAATAAACAAGCATATGCGGAATACATTATGAGTCATCATTTGATATTCGCTACTTCAGAACATAAACAAAAAATAAATCAAGTGATCTAAGATTAGTTTAAATAAATCAGAATAGTAATGAAGCACATAACCAAACAAAGCTAATTAATTTCCAGCACTCAACAAATAGTAAAAGGTAAATATATTGAAAAAGTGAAGGAACTCAATTCAAGATAAAGTTCACATAATGTATTAATCATGATTCCAAAAAAAATACGGCACATGCTCAACAATACAAAGCTTCATATGTCATCCAAATCAGTATCATCGTCGGACAATAATTCTGGTTCCTCATCTGAACTATATTGAATGTCATCTCCATCATCATCCTCATCAACCCAAAAGTCATCATTAATTGCTGCTTCACCACTACATTTTTCAATCACTTCAGCATCAAGGGTTTCACCCTCTAAATCGTCCCTGTTCAAAGAGAGTGGATCCATGTCCAAGTCCACTTCAACAATCCTATCCACGATGCTTGGTTCGTTCTCTTGGTATGTTGTAGTGTTAAGCATTTCATCCTCTACTACTGCTTCGCCCTCTTTTTCAGGTACATCAAATGAACTTCTATTTGTTATATCTTGAACTACCTCCTATGTCCCTTGAAATTTGTTGTCTTTGACGTAGAAGCATTATTTTGCTTGATTTACTAACACAAATGGCTCATTTTTGTAAGCTCTACTGGCTACATTTACACTCTTAAAATAGGTATCTTTATGTATACCAATCCTAACATCAAACCATTCACATTTGAAAAGGAAAATTTGTCTACCCAGTGGACATCGTAACTCAATGATATCTGTTAGTTTACCATAGTAATCTTCACATTCTCCTTTCACTAACACACCACAATTCTGTGTTCGTCGATTTTATTCCCTTTCCTTAGTATGGAATCTAATCCCATCTACAATACAAGTAGAATATTAACTTACTAGAGATCCAGGTCCACACGCTAGCGAATACAGATCATCACAAGTTGTTTCCTTTTGATGATGACGCATTTTCAAGATCTATTGAAAAAATTGTAGTGTTAAATAAATGATAACACATCATTTTCATTAAATAAAAGAATTTGATTAATTAAGTCCAATATATACATGATGGACTTACTTGTGTTTCGAACCATCTAGAAAATTCTTTTGCATGTCTTTGAGGAACATTTCGCGGATCTTGTCTCTCAAGTTCCACCTTATGTTTTCTAAACAATTAGATGGTGTTAAGATAAAATTGTGTACATATATTAAGCAATAAACTATATATTCACATAAGTTGACAAGATACGACATGTAACAAGTTACTTACTCTTCGTATGACTCAACTACTCCAGAATTTTGTAATACGTACAATCAGGCCATCTCCATGTCCTCACGGGACAATATCTCCAAACTTTGTGCCCTTAGAGGTCGAACTACTTGCTTTAGATCTGAAATAGTGGTCCAATTATTGTTGTAATCCCCCTCACTATTTCTTTCTTCTTGATTCTCAATCCCTCTGAGAAATTTTGAACAAAATGTCAATCATTCATTGTCTAAGTAAGCTTCAGCAATGGACCCTTCAGGACGTGCTTTGTTATGTATGTACAGTTTGAGGGTATACAAAAATCTACATAACCATTAAAATTATCACAAATATTTAAATCTATCAGACCATTAGAATTTGTTATAAAAATAATGTTTGTGTATTAAAAAAATTACAGTACCTTTCAATGGGGTACATCGACTGATATTGTGCGGGGCCAGCAATAATGGCTTCATGTGGCAAATGCAGAGCCAAGTGCACCATAATGTCGAAAAATGACGGAGGAAATATCATCTCCAACTTGCATAGTATAATAGCAATGTCCTTTTCCATTGCCTCTAAGACATCCACTTTAATAGTTCGACAACACAATTCCTTAAAGAATAAACCAAGCTCTGCTATTGCATTACAAATATCCGAATCTAAGAATCCTCGTATAGCTATGGGGAGGAGGCGCTGTAACAGAACATGTGAATCATGACTTTTCAATCCAGATATCTTACAGTTATTAACATTCACACACCGACTTATGTTTAAGGCATAGCCATCTGGGAACTTAACTGATTTTAGCCATTCACACAATTGCTTTTTATCATTCTTTGACAATGTGTAGCGCGCTCGTGGCATCTCAAAATTTTCACCATTACGCTTGAGATGTAGTTCTTTTCTAATCTTCATTGCTTCTAAATCCAATCGAGTTTTGAATGTATCCTTCGTTTTTCCTTCAATATCCAATAATGTCCCTAACACATTATCGCATATGTTTTTCTCTATATGCATAACATCTAGGTTGTGCCGTAACAAAAGGGTCTACCAATAAGGTAGTTCAAAGAAAATACTCTTCTTTGTCCAGTTAAGTTCAAATTGTTCACGAGTTCACTTCTAGTTATTTGGTCCCTTTCTGAAACTAACCTCGGGTATGCGGTTAAGTTGTTCCAGAATATCATCACCTGTCAACTGTTTTGGTGGCCCTTTATCTTGCTTCTCACCATTAAACTGCTTATACCGCTTCCTAAAAACGTGATCTAACGACAAAAACATACGACTTCCCAAATAACATATCTTCCGTCCGTGTTTCAAATAATAAGAACATGTTTCTTCGCTACAATTTGGACATACTAGATAACCCTTCGTCATCCATCCAGAAGCCATCGCATAGGCAAGAAAGTCAGTAATGGTTTAAATCATTGCCGCATGCATTTTAAAGTTACATTTACTGGCATCATACGTCATCACACCATCCCCCCATAATTCTTTTAACTCTTCAACTAAAGGCCGCAGATATACATCAATATCATTACCAGGCGAGATTGGACCAGGAATAAGCAACGACATCAACACATATGGTTCCTTCATACATATCCAAGGGGGCAAATTGTAAGGCACAATCATCATAGGCCACATACTATAGGAATTGCTCATGTTACCAAATGGATTGAATCCATCAGTTGCTAATTCAACATGAACATTATGAGGATCAGCAGCAAACCAACTATGCTTATTATCAAAATCCTCCCAAGCTTTTGAATCAGACGGATGTCTTAACTCATTTGTCTCCTTCACACGCTTCTCCTTATGCCACCGCATATCTAAGGCTGTATCCTTCGACATAAACAACAGTTGAAGTCTTGATTTCAAAGGGAAGTACCGAAGAAATTTTTAAGGGACTTTCTTACCCTTACCTTTGTGAGGTTTATACCTCGACTCACCACATTGTGGACAATTTTCCTTACCTGCATTTGCTTTCCAAAATAGAACATAATCATGTTTACATGCATGGATACACTCATATCCGAGACCCAAATCTCGCAACAAGCTTTTAGTCTCGTAATGAGACTTTGGTAACACATTGTTATCAAGAAACATCTCCTTAAATGCCATAAGCATCATGTCAAATGTTTTGTTGCTCATTCAACCCATAACCTTCACATGGAATAACTTTAATATCACTGACAACTTCGAGAATTTTTGACAACCTGGCCAATTCACTTTGTGCATCATTTAACAATCTAAAAAATTTTCCTCCTCCCCATCAGCATCAGGCAAATCTTCTTGTTGTTGTGCATTATTGAAGTTTCCCATTTGTACGTTATCCAATAACCCAAATACATTATCTACATTCCATCTTCATCATGGGCACTTTCCCTACTAACATTAGCACCAATATTAACATTATTGCTGGTTTGAGGAACCTCCCCATGATATATCCAATTGTTATACCCCTTGTCCATCCCATTACTCAAGAGATGTTACTTAACCTATTTAATTTCAAGATATTCCTTGTTTTTGCAACGACGACAGGGACATCGGGTAATACCACCTGTCTGTGCATGACGACTAGCCATCAAAATAGATTCGACTACCCCTAGTGTGATGATGAATCCAAGACTTATCCATGTAACTGCTATTTTACATAAAATAAAATAAAAAATAAAAAATTATAATATCAATTTTAAACAAGTCACTTTATGCGTATGTTGAATATATCATAACTCTTTAAGAATGAAAATCAATCATATTATAAGGGAAAACAATAAAGAAATCCATTAAATAAAAGTGAAAGCAAGGTCCTTGTAATGCGTTGAGAAGTAGCTAGCAAAGAATAATGTCTATTGACTTTGATTTGAAGCCCCTTCTTTTATTTTTCAGCAAAGGGATCCTCTCTTCGGTTTCCCTAAAACCCAACTCAAACCTTTGCAAACAAACAAAGGTTGTTGAACTAAACAGGATGTAGTATTATTATTGATCTAAACAGAATTAACTGATTCCTTCATTTCTATTACTGCACTTTCCAAACTTAAATGTAAATGAAATTATTGTAGGTGCCACAATTTTAAATTATAAACTTATAAACTTTTAATAAGTTCAAACATTCAATATATTAAAAATATAGATATGTTGTGTCTATGCAAGAACAAACAAGTTAGCTAGGATGAGAAGACAATCACAGCTGTAGTGGGGGAGTAGTGAGAATATATACAGGGCCTATTACTAGTAAAGAAAAATGGTCCATTAAAAAAAATATCTGCAAAACAAAATATATGTACTTGATCCATAGGCTCTCTTTTTTTGGTAGGGAGGGAGGAAGTGGTAAAATATCATTAAAAGGCGCCAAAACAAGGGTACGACACATATAAACAGGAGGTACACAAGAAGGAAAATAGAAAAATGCTTTCCTAACCAAGTAATATCGCTAAAATAAATAGAATATTGTATATTTTCCTGTGGAATTCTGTTGATGTGGTTTTCTCTTTGAATGACAAATACTAATCTTGAGGCTAAATGGTATCACCTATCTTAAGGTTTGTTCCTGAATACAAGTCTTAACACAAGGGAATATTAGTCTTTCTATACATGGGAGTAATATTGCTACACTTGTCTTTGATACTACATTGCACTACAGATATTCTATTAAAGGTTGAATCACAAATTTAAGGGCTGCAGTAAGCATCATCTGGTCACTTTCAAGGGCTACAGCAAGTATCATCTGGTTTAAGTGACAAGTGTCATCAGTAAAGGGCAATTATGTAATCTCAGCTGCATCCTTAGGGGTATTTTGATCAATCTAATCTGTAGTGTATGATTGGAAACATTTTCTGAAGGTGCATTGTATCTTTGCTTCAAAAAAATTTGCTATAGAGCAGCACCTAAATTCAATGTATAAATATACTGTTATAGAGCAGCACTCATGTGTGCAAATATTGAGCCTCTTTTTATATATTGAGCTGCATTGAGTGTGAGGCTCGAGAGCTGAAAATATGAGTCACTTTCAGATAGATTAATTGAAGTTTTGAGCTAACTTAATCTCTGAAATCACTATGAGAATGCACTAATCCACTGAAGAATTTCTGAACCTGTGAAGCAGAATTTTCTGATGCATTTATGTTGATGTTGAGGCTGGATTGAAGGGTCAAAATTGGTTGTAGAGGTTCCAGGTGCTGTATGATGGTTGAAGCAAGCTTGGTACATTTATTTACATCTGTAGAACTCAAGTATATGCCTAATTTTGCACAGAAAAACAATATGAGTACTCATATCTCAGTTTCAGCCTACTTTTCTGGTGCATAGCCTCTAATGGACTATTTTATGTTGATTACTTTTTGTATGTGTTGAGTTTATGCTTTAAACAAGTATATTTAATCATTATAGAGCTCTGTTGACAAAAATCAAGACTGAAAATTGAGTGTATTTGGTTTTGAACTCTCAAACAAAACAAAACAACCTTATTGAATAAAATAGCCTACAGAAAGTTTTAAACTCATTCTAGTTGATTCATATTGCTAGCTTTGCTGTGATTACCTTCTGAGCATATATATATAACTAGATTGAGGTGTTTGGAATCAAGTTCAAGGCTATAAGGAAGTAAAATTATGATTTAGTCCCTAAGAACAAAGTTTCAGCTGAAATTGTGCTGTGACTTATTTTGAGCTGGAATTCGAAGTAAACTTGCTATACACTGAAGAGTATCATTCTGAAAAAGTTTCATTTATTTAGTGTTGTGGGAACATGAATCAAGGCCTACTTTCACCTGCATTGCAGATTGACCTGCTTATTCTCACTACTGCAGAATTCAAGTGTAAAACTGATGTCAGTTCTATCCTAGCACTTATTGTGCACTACAACTGTGTCTCTTGTTGAAAGAACTAAAGTATCTAATTAAGTAAGTGCACTGTGAGTATGTGAAGCTATAAGAACCAGAATTAACTCAAGTTTCAGGTGATTTGACTGAAGACTAGGGTTTAAGATATTTTAAGCCTACTTGTGATCTGAGATTGTTATAACTTGCTCTATTCACTGTTTCAATATTTTGAGCATGTTTGTTTGGAGATTACAAGCCTTTCCAGATTTGTAATTTACCCCTTCAATAGGCTTTTTGTAATTTCGAAACCCTAGAAAAAACTAGGGTGAGGATCATGAAAAATGGCAAACAAGAAAAGTACGAAAGAAATTTTACTTACCTCTACTAAGATTATGAGGTTGGCTTGGCTAGAAACGGAAAAAACCTTCCAAAGGTTGCTATTAGGTCGTAGAGCAGGGCGCCGTTGAGAAGAACAAAAAAGGTGAAGAACTAAAGATCAAGCTTTGTGAGTTGTGATGGTGGAATAGCCTAATTTCTTGTAGTGATAACCAGCTCATGCACACATATTTGACACATTTTAAAAAGTCATAAACGAATAAAATGTGTCATGAACAGCGTTTTCAGAATTGTTTCATCCATCAATCCCCAGCCTCCAATGAATTATATTTTCAAAAATTGTATAATCAAATTTAATTTTCATTCCACTCCCTTTGTGGAGAAAGAATTTTCATTTATCTAACAAATTTTGGTAAATGAGAGAACAAAGTGATGAGGCTATCTCTGGATAAATTAAACAAAACACATACAGGGCCAATTACTGGTAAAGAAAAATGGTCCTTTAAAAAAAATATCTGCAAAACAAAATATATGTACTTGATGCATAGGCTCTCTCTTTTTTTGGTAGGGAGGGGGGAAGTGGTAAAATATCATTAAAAGCCGCCAAAACAAGGGTACGACCCATATAAACAGGAGGTACACAAGAAGGAAAACAAAAAAATATGCATAATCACGATAGATCCATGACGGAGAACATTAGAACTAAATATCTAGGTAATAAAACTTATAAAGCATTAAAATCCAGAAATTGATAAATAAACAAATAAAATAAAACATAATAAGAGCATTAAAATCCAGAAATTGATAAGTAAACAAATAAAATAAAACATAACAAAAGCATTAGAACTAATTATCTAGGTGATATAAACTTATAGAGCATTAAAATCCAAAAATTGATAAATAAACAAATAAAATAAAACATAATAAGAGGAGTAAGAAATATATCATACCTAAAATTCTGATCAAACTCAATCTTGGGTGAACAGCTAGTGGATATGACCTGAAATAAGTATATAATGGCACCAATTATCAGTTCTGAACAAGATCTTGTGTAGGAGATATTCTATGTTTTGGAAGCGAACTAATACAACCTTCAAATGGGACCCTGGCTAAATTGTTAGTATCAGAACTTCACTAACAAGTCAACTGCAAGGCTTATTATGGTTTATGAAGGGTCGCTTTCTAGAGCATTCTTAAAATTTCCTTCCTTTCACTAACAAAGGTATTGTAAGGGCCTATTTGATTTATTTTTTAAGTCACTTCTCTTAAATTTTTTCCTAATAAAAATAAACTATACAATCACTTTAGTATTTTCGATTACGACCAGAAACTGAAGGACATGATATAGAGAATATCAGTCGGATGTAATAGCAATGCTGGTATTTTTAAAACTTGACTTCCTGAACAGTTCTCAAGATTTGCCTAAGGTTATGTCTTTAAAATGGAAAAGAAAATAGGATTTATGTAACCAAACCTAAATAGTTGAAATAGACTTTATTGAGTCGAGTACGATTATTTTACACCAAATCATCCAAACACTAAAATAACAATAAATAAAAATGAAGCACTAAATAGTTGTAGTGAAAAAAAAAAAAAATATATATATATATATATATATATCAATTCTGATCAAACTCATTCTTAAAATCTGTACGAAACAGTGATGAAACCACAAAATTATGTGTCTGAGGTGGAGGAGACCTTGAATAACAATAAGATATAAAAAATATTCATATAACCATAATAGGGGGCTATATTAAAAATTCTTTTTGGACATAAATGAAATATGTGGCAAGATGCCATCACTCTGCTGTGTTTTGCTTGATACTTGCAATTAGCAAACTTGTCCATGGACCACCAGCATTCTAGGCTACTCTGTTTGTATATAATTCCCTATTTTCTAGACATAGTGGGAAGGAGCACAAATATTTTGCTGAGCCAGCATACCAAATAAAATTTAAGATAAGTTTCACTCATCAATAAAGAACATTGCATAACCCATTAAGTGCATACAAATGGTATGGATATGTAAAAATAATTACAAAGCAATGGTAAAAAAGGATAAAATAAGTATACTTTTAAATTGTGGTATCAGGTAATGTAACAAAAATCTAATGGAATCAGAAATATCAGCCAAAGTATGCTTCAAATCAGTTACTATAGCCGTGAAGTTTTTTAATCAATAGTAAATCAATCAAACTTAAGTAATTAATGATGTATTAGATAGATTATGGATAAATTTTAATCAATTTGAACATTTGGTTATAACTGTAAGAGGCTACCTGCCTGATTCATAAATTAGAGTTTGGGTTTATTAAAGAGAGAAGAGTGATGTAGATAAAAGTTATTGTACTTGGGTAACACAAAAAAGTCCCTAATAAAGGTCTCAACAACTCCCTATTGAGATTCTTCTTGGGTTTTGGGGGATCATAGAACACAAAGGTGAGAACTATAGATGTAAAACAGGTTCAGGGGTAGTAATGGCAAGGATTAGTCAATTTTGGGTCAAATCATAATTGGATTGAGTTGAACTTAGCATGAGAAGCTAATATTGTCAACTTAAGACTCATCTAGCCATCAAGTTTGTTGAGTTCTGAACAGATTCAAGTTTATACAGAAATATACTTAGTTAAAAATGGTTTTATTATTATCATTATTATTATTAACAGTGATCAAATATCCTTGAAGAAAAGAAATTTAGATCTACCAAATGAGAAGCATCGAAAGAGAAGACTGAAACTTACTTTGAGATAGCCCTATAGCTGCGGACTTCAACTTTCCAGAATCAATGGGGGTGTACTTATCACGGCGCATATCATTTGCAGTCGAGGCTAAAACTGAGTTTTCTGAATTGGGCAACATCCATCTGCATGTTATATGTGTTAATTGATCAAAAGCAATGTAACAAACAACTACTGAGGGAAAAGTTCAGTTTCCAATTAATTCTTCCATACACAAATATTTTGCTGAAAATATAATTCCCTATTTTCTGGACATAGTGGGAAGGAACACAAATATTTTGCTAAGCCAGCATATATATATATATATTATCAAATTTTAACTGAAAAATCTCCTATATTGCGCATGAATTAATGGAATCACCACTTGGATCAAAATGTTCTGCAATATAACTAAAATAAATAAACATGCCTGGAAAGAGAGGTTCAAAACTACTAAGCTGATTGAAATGGTCAATAATGTGCATTTTGTCAGACCAGAGGACAAGGTTCAACAAGTAATACATATTGAAGTTAATTTAAAACACTAATAATAATAATAATAATAACAATAAAGAAACACCTATAGATATACAGATAACATGTATTAAAATGGAAATTAAGTATATCGATAGCACAACCCACTATAATACATAACATTTATAACTGATTAGTCTCCAGAGCTAAATCCCCTGAACTTTAAACAAAAAAGGTAAGCCTATGCAGTGTTTAAAGTAGAGTTAACCTGACAATGCATATACATTAACACAAGCAATTTGATTGCATATCCAAGATAAAAATATATAGTAGTTATAATTTTTTTTTTATTAATGGTTTGGATGATTTGTTTATTTTGTTTGTATCACCAGATTATGGTTTTGGTAATCGCTTCAGGGTGTTTCTTAGCGAGTGAGGACCTTTATATAATGAAAAAAAGGGAATGCACATGTAGGCTGGACAGCCATCTGTGGCCTAGTCCCCGCTTTCTGCAACCATCTAACCGGAGCTCTTGCCGTTGGTGTACTTGGAGCCATAGTCTAGATTTTGCTCACTTTGTATACCTACCATGTTATTATCAATCCTCTACTCATGTAGCACAAGGTTTTTATTTTTTTTATTTTTTTAATTTAATTTGGAGAAATATTGAGTTTAAACTCATGCGGGGGAGAATATTAATGGTTGTATGGTACTTAAAGTTCATTGTTAGTGTTTATAGAATTATGCATGACGTTTGACAAAATATGTAAAAGTACATGCTCTGCTATTAAGTACAAACGTTCTTGTTTGTCAATGTCAAAATGTTTTTCATATTCATTGGGTTACCACTCATTTTTCACTTTCAATTGAGAGGTCTTGAGCAATGTTGATGTGAGAGTTGGACCTATTGCCAACATTCACTTTACCAAGCATTCACAAGTTCACATTCCCACCATAAATAATCATCTCATGCCACTTTCAGATTGCACATGAAAGCAATATCCATTTATCAAAGTGGTATATAAAACTGTAATATATCAAAATCACTAACTGTAAACACAGCAAATTACCATCAAAGAATATACTAATCAAGTTGGGTGTGAATCAAATGGTAATATGGTATTGAAAACAGGTTCATCATCATCAGTATGTAATTTTTATACACGAAAAATGATAAGCCCACATCTTTCTATCATGGGGATAAAAACCGCGAAAATTTGTACTAAAATATTTTTCTTTGCACATCTGACACTTTACCACGAAAAACTGTATCCCAAACGAAGCCTACTCCTCCATTAAAATCTATCAACAGAAACATAACAGCTCTATTGAATAATCAGAAATGACAACCCTAAATCTGATAAACAACATAATTTTTTTTTTTTTTTGAAAATTCCAAAATTCAGGAGGAATAATAATCAACAGATTGTTAAAAAAAGGCAATACCTGGGACGAAGGGGCAAAGATAGAGCCGAAAATCCCAGAAGATGAAGAAGCAGATGAGTCCTTTGAACCAAAAAGATAGAAAGTTCAAACAACCTGTATGATTTCTAACAGCGATTCAGACTTAGACGACAAGCCTTTTCCAAATTTGTAATTTACCCCCTTTTGCAATTTCGAAACCCTAGAAAAAACTAGGGTGAGGATCATGAAAAATGGCAAACAGGAAAAGTACGAATGAACTTTTGCTTGGCTCTACTAAGATTAGGAGGTTGGCTTGGCTAGAAACGGAAGAAACCTTCCAAAGGTTGCTATTAGGTCGTAGGGCAGGGCGACGTTGAGAAGAATAGAAGAGGTGAGGAACTGAAGAGCTTTATGAGTTGTGACGGTGGAAGAGGTTTGCAAATGATACTAACTATTTTTAGATTAAAAACGACGTAGTGTGATGGGCTTCCCTATGTTGTGAAATAAAATAATTTTATATTATTTCATTTTTGCGCCAAACAAAAGAAAAATGAAGCGCTAAAGTTTAGCGCTTTGTTTTTTTGGGCATTGGGGACGGTCCTCAATAGACTGTGCCAAAAAAAACTTTTTTAGGGACAGTTTTTAGGGATTTGGTGACATATTAGGTTGACTGTCCCTAAAAGCCTGGTATTAGGGACGATAAAATTTGCCTATCCCTAATAGTAAGATCTTTTGGGACGGGTTTTAGTGCGTCACTAAAAGACTGTCCCTAATACCCTAATTTCTTGTAGTGATTGGATAAATAACAAAAAAAATAATGAAGTTAGAAAAATCACTTGATTCGGAGTCCGGATGGAAGAGAACGGCCAAAAACAAAAATGGGCATCGCTGTGGCCAAAGGGCCACCCATACGCACGCAAGCGCGCGCACTATGCACGCGGACAAGGCTACTAACACCTGAGCACTTTTCTAAAAAATGCTGCAAGCAGTGTGATTTTTGGACCCCGAAATGACTTTTTTTGGAAAAACACAAAAAAAAAAAAAAAAAAAAAAAAAAAAAAAAAACCCTTAAAATAATTTTTCCAAGCTGAACATGTCGAAAGAAAATTTTATTTTTGACCTGAAATGCCTAAAATACCCCTGAGATCAGTTTTGACGAAAAATGCTAAAATACAAGTTTGTTTCAAGTGTTCAAATGACCAAATATGAAATTGTATGCTAAAACGATTGGGCGCGCAAACGTAATAAGTGTTTTAAAACGTGTGGGAATGATCCGTGACCCCCAAATATATCTGATGCAAAATCCGACCTATTAAACCTCAAAAATGTCTTAAAATGAA